AAAAAAAATCCTTGAATCAAATGAGAACACTACCCCTTTGGGATACAGCAAAAGTTTTGTTCAGAATGAATGAATGAATCAATGCATAATAAAACTTTGCTCAGATAGCAATTTACAGCAGTAAAAATTTGAATCAAAAAGAATGAAGAACGAAAATCAACACCTTAACCCAACTTCTCCAACAATTAGAAAAAGGGCAGCAATATTAATCTCCCTAAGGAATAAATGGGGAAAAAACTCTCTGAAAGTTATCGATATATAGAAGTAGAAATGATATATGTGTGAATGAATGGACAACACATCCCGTCGGCCGAAGGTCTAGAAACAGTGATACCCTGGTGTTGTTAAGTGCTGTGTGGGTTAAGGCTCATCGAGATCCTATGTACAACAAAGCACCACTCAGTCCTTGCCGTCCTCACAATTGTTATGTTTCATTGTTGCAGATACTGTATCAGTCCATCTCTTTGAGTCTCCACTTCTTCACCGCTCTTCAACGTGACCCAGCATGATGTCCTTTTGCAGGGACTGGTCTCTCCTGATTACATGCCCAAGTATGTGAGACCAAACTCGTCATCCTCCCTTCTATGGATCATTCTGCTGCACTCCTTCCAAGACAAATCTGTTTGCTCTTTTGGCAGTCCATAGTACTTCCAATAGTCTTCGCCAGCACCAAAGAAATGATCATTATCTAGCACCCCGAGCTTATGTTTCTAAATATCCCGTAACCATCTTTCCACTAAAAGAAACTAGAAGCCCTTGGAGAAATGGTTAGTTTTCAAGCTGACAATAGAAAAGTAAAAGACTAGTCAGGAACATCCGACTATCCCAGAAAGTAAAGGTATGCTCCAAGAATGATGGGGCACATATCAAAAGGACACAGGGGCTGACTTGAAGTAGCTTCACCTGTCCAAATCTAGAAAACTGTGAGTATCTAATAAAATGATGATAGATTAAGTAATGGATAACTCTCAGAACACAATAAAAATCCATGAACCCATAATGTATTAAATAAATAAGGGAGAAGAAAACAAATCTTCCTCCTAGCAGGATAATAACAAATAAATGAAGAAAGAATGATAGAATAAGAAGATTTGACAATATTGCAGTAATAACTGTTTCAAGAAAAAAATCACCATTGTAGGTCAAGATGAGATGGCAGAAATCTGGTGAAAAACAAGATATTTATGGAGCTTCAAAGTACTGCCCACACAAGATTAATTACAAGGGAGAAAAAGTGGTCACTTCAGAATGAATAAACCTTGCAGAGATCATCTGCCTTAACTAAATATTATGGTAAATGTCAGTAGTAAAAGGACTTATCAATATGGTGTGCTTCTTGAGATGATGTAATAAGGAAGACCCAATATCAATTCTATTGTACTCCTGCCTAATCATAAAGAAACATCAGAAAATCCAAATTAAATGGCCAATAATCTTTAAAAATATTAGTCATGAGAGAAAAAGAAAACCCACTGCCGTCTAGTTGATTCTAACTCATGACAACTCTATAGGACAGAGTTGTCCTGTGGGTTTCTGAGACTATAACTCAGCAGTTCTCAACCTGTGGGTCATGACCCCTTTGGGGGTCGAACAACCCTTTCACAGGGATCGCCCAATTCATAACAGTAGCAAAATGACAATTATGAAGTAGCAATGAAAATAATTTTATGGTTGGGGGGTCACCACAACATGAGGAACTGTATTAAAGGGTCGCAGCAATTAGGAAGGTTGAGAACCACTGCTATATCTCTTTACAGGAGTTAAGAGAAAAAGAGAGAGCCTCATCTTTCTCCTGTGGGTGGCTGGTGGTTTTGAACTGCTGACCTTAAAAATTATAGCCCAAATAACTTCTTGGAGCAATTCTACTCTGTAACACATTGGGTCACCATGCGTTGTAATCAATAGTTTGTTTTTTTTCAGTTTAGTGCATTCCATGAAAGGAGGCCCTGGTGGCTTGGTGGTTACACGTTGAGCTGCAATTTGCAAGGTCCACAGTTCAAAACCACCAGCAGCTCCAAGAGAGAAAGATGGGGTTTTCTACTTCCATAAACATTTAGTCTCAGAAACTCACAGGGACAGTTCTACCCTGTCCTACAGGATCACTATGGATCAGTCGATGTCAGAGAGTTTGGTTTTAAGTTTATGAAGTTGATGATGAGTCAGATCGACTCAATGGCCATGAGTTGAGTTTGGTGGTGTAGTGGGTTAAGCTTTAGGCTGCTAACCACAAGGTGAGTAGTTCAAGACCATTAGCTGCTTGGTGGGAGAACTTTAAAGCTTTCTACCCCTGTGAAGATTAGCAGTCTCAGAATCTAAAACAAGCAGTTCTACTTCCTATAGGGTGATCCTATATGTCAGGATCACCTCAATGGTAGTGAGTTATGGAAACTTTGTGAATGACGTAAATATGCTACAGCTGAGTGTTGATTTTTTTCAAAGAAGTACCAGTACATACCACAGCATCAAATCGGTTATGATAAATTTCTGCTTGGCTCTGCTCAACATAGCGTTGTTTGGCATGAACAAAGGCAGGTACTCCTCCATAGACAAAGCCAATGATGCCTGCTGAAACTGCTGCCTTACAAATATTCTGAAGTTCTTCAGATCTTCTCTGCTGGTCACTAAAACATCAAAAAGATAATATGGTTTGGGATTACTTTATTGACATTGCACTCCAAAACAAACTTATCAGTATTATCCCAAATGCTCCCAGTACCATATAGATACCTTTTTTATTATGGGGAGAATTTATTAAACCCTTTAACAAGCATTCATGCTTCAGGCAGAACTAAAATCTTTGCTGTTAGAAATCAAGATAGTAGTCAGCCAATGGTAAGTAGAGACAGCAAAGGAGCAGAGGGGATTTTCTGATATACTGTACTGTTTCTTTCTGGTTACTGGCTATCATTCAGCCTGAAAATTCAATGGTTAGTATTGCTATGTACATATATACTCTAATAAATAAAGATTTTTCTTTAATGACTATTACCTAGACACTTGGAAATAGGAAGAATTGCGAGTTGGGAATAGAGTCTGATGTTTTCATTCTTTAATTTCAAATTAACTTTTAAAAATCACACACATTAAAAAAAATTTTTTTTAAATCACACACATTTGTGGAATTTTAGGACAAGGTATGCAGGAATAAAAGCCTTCTCTTAAAAAAGGGGGTTGCAGCAACAACAAACATTTTTCACTATGCACTAAGCAGCACAGACCTATTTAAAACAAGAGAAATGTATTGTTTAAGATTCCTAATTCAGTTTGCTACTTGGAAGTGCCTAGGATAGAGCTGTTACTGGGGCTTCCAAGACAACCTCTCAGTACCATTCTCACAAACCGCTAACTTCCTAAGTATGCAATTACTATAAATAGCGGCCTTTCCAGGTAAGTAAAGTACGAAATACAATTTTATAAATTACATTCCTAATTTGCTTTCTTTAGAGTCTCTGAAGACTGTACAAAGACTGTACAAGGTCCTCATCTGTGAAACGTAAATAAGATTGTAGGAAACTATTTTTTATACTCACATCAGCAAGAAAAAATACTGTAATGTGAATGTTATAGTGTATAAAATTTTTAAACATTTGCAATAAAATTGATCAATGACAAAATTCATAAAATATGTTAAAGTTCTGAAAATTATAAGCCCGGGGATATATATACTTTGCCTCTGTTTTACCCTTTGAACAATTACTCATTTCCACTTTTAAGGCTTAGGATAGAGGCTATAAGAAGTTACCTATTGTGTGCTGTCCGTTTCGACTTAACAACGACTCTATGCACAACAAAACGAACTACTGCTTAGTGCTGAGCCACTCTCACAGTTGTAATGTGTGTCCATTGTTGCAGCCACTGTGTCGAACCCTCTCCTGAAAGGTCTCCCTCTTTTCCCACTGACTTTACCAAGCATGATGCCGTTTTTCCAGGGACTGGTCTCTCTTGATAACATGTCCACAGTTTGTGAGACAAAGCCCAGTCCCTCTTGTTTCTAAGGAGCATCTGACTGTACTTCAATCAAGACAGGTTTGGCAGTTCATTGTACTTTCCATATTCAAGATGGCTGGTCCAAAAACTAACACATGATGAGAGGACGTTTTCTTTAAAAAAAAACCAAAAAACCAAAAAGGCAGCATAGCGGTAGAAAGAGAATCTGAGTAAGAATCGAGGCTATAATCTAGATGCTAAAATGGTTCTGCAACTCACTGCTAAGTGATGTGGTCAAACCATCATCTCTGCCTCTCCTGGTTTTCTGATCCATGACATGGAGGGGAGCACACTAGGCATGCTTTTTGTTTCTTTCAGCTCCAACGCTCTTGGTTTACACGGACGGTCACAATTATCTTCTTTCACAAGATCGCAAATAAATATTGGAAAGACCACTGAGAGAGGTCATCCCATTATGTTTAAAATAAGATAAAGTAATTAAATGCCACCAGTTCTCTTGCCCTTACGTATCTCAACAACAGAGCTTCAATTAATTTAGCAATGAGAATATTGTGTAGTTTGGGTAAAATATTTTAGGAAATCTGCTCCAGAAGTTTTCTCCAGGTCGTAATGGATGACTGCATGAAGAAATGAATGCATGTACTACTGAACTTTTTTTTTAATTAGGTAAAACCAAATCCATGTAATAGGTTATCCTGTGATCAGCAAAATCTTATTTTTAATCCAACTAGTATACTTTCTTTTGTAAAATACAGCGCAATAGCTGACAGCAATTTTTATTCCTTATTTGCAAAATGAAAATGACAGTCCTCTCTATTCCCTTGGCAATATTCAATTTTTGGAGGGTGAAGGCAATAATGCCATGAAATAGTAAAGTTTAGGACCAACTAAAACACGGGGGAAAGAAATTGGTAGGGAAGTCTGGTAGGTTCCTGGGTCAGCTCTAAAAGCAACTGACTTGGCACAAGTTTTCCCGATCTGTAAAATGAAATTACACTAAATCTCTTCAAGAAGTCTTCCTGTAATGAGTTTGAGCGTTGCTACTTGAAAATCGGCCTGTCAATCAACTTCCAAACGACAATGTCAGAATACATGCTTAGGGTTCAAAATCAGAACCCCAAGCCCCATTTTTTAAAATCAACGGCACCACCCAGGGGTCCCTCGCCTACATTTCCCCAGGCTGAGGACATCGTCCGCGGCCCCTCCCCACAAACCCTAGGCACGTTTACTCTTTAATAAACAGCTCTCGGAGGCGATCCCATCCGGATTCCGGGTAATGGGATTCTGGGACGTAGGGAGGCGGCTTCGGTCGCTCAGCAGGAGTCTGGGACTCGGCGGCCACAGCTTCAGCAGCAAAGACTCGGGGGAAAGGACCCAATGCCCTGCGGAGGCAGCTCGGAGGCGCCTTCCGAGGCTCCTCCATGGCCCTCTCCTGACCCGAGGTCGCACGCACGCTCCAGCCTCAACACACCAAGGCCGCCTGGGGGCGCCTGGCGAGGAAGGTGAACTAAACGCCTTGGCGCTGGGGTATCTCGGCTTGGCCCAAAAGCCGGTCTCACTTCCGGAAGCCTTTGGAACACGAGACAGGAAGTCCTGCCCCAAAGATGGCGAAGGCCAAAGGGCTGGGCAGCCGCGGACTCCAAACAGTAATCACTTCCGGGGGAAGACAGGCCGTGCTCCCATCCTGACCCCGCCCCCTTCCCCGCCCCTCCGGAAGTAAGTGGGCGGCCCACAGGCCGCGCCTCTCCCGGCTGGTACCTGCAAGAAACCTGCTCTGGGTTAGGCTCCAGTCGGCCAGCCGTTGTCACTGACTTTAGTAATTTAGTGCCTTGAAAACTCCAGAAAACCCACGTAAACGACAAAGTGCCATATTCGATGTAAGTGGGGTACGGGAAGAGGGAAGGACAACTCTGGCAAGTGAAAGCGGAGCCGCCTCCTGGTTCCGCGCTGTAGGCCATCCCCCCACCTGGGCGGGTTCCCTTCGTTGCCCACCTGTTCTGGTTTCCGGAAAGGACTGAAGTTAAAGGAGGGGGAGGGTGTCCATTACGAAGAGGTTTTCAAAAGACATTTTGGACTATTCTTCCCAGGGTAAATTTCACTTCCTTTCGTTTGGATTCAGGGCTTCCCAAACACAAGTCAACCTCATTGCCATGGAATCGGGTCGGACTCGGCGAACCTACAAGACAGGGTAGAACTGCTCTGAGTTTCCGAGACCGTAACTGCATATGGGACTAGGCTGACCTTGCAGTTAGCAGCCCAACGCCTTCCCCACGACACCACCAGGACGCCTGCTTCTCAAAAGGCAATTTGTTTTCTGTAATTTGTCAGTTGTTAAATAGCCCGACAGTAATTTCAGTTCTCAGGGTCCTTTATTCATTCCCTTAGCAGCAAGCAAGGCAGAAGCCCCTATTCTGTCCCAGTCTGCAGGTCAAAACCACCAGCTGCTCTGCGGGAGAAAGACAAGGCTTTCTACTCCTGTAAAATCTTGGAACCCCACGGGGGCAGTTCTGCTGTCCTATTGGGTCGCTGAGTCGGAAAAGACTCAATGGCAGGGGGGTGGGCGTGGGTGGGGGTTGGTTTGGGTAGTATAGAACATTTAGGTCGGAGACCGGGTTTTCTTTCTCTTTCCAAGACTTAGCACAGTTTGTCTAGCACATATCCTGTCTGTAGCCCTGGTTCTTGGACGCTGCTTATCCCATATTAGGAAGGAGTGGGCACCAGGATAAGTCCCAAGGCCTGGGAGGAGTTCAAGAAAATGGCCATGCACTGTCTAGCCTACTTGCAAAAACAACTTTATTCCTAAAATGACCCCCAAATCACTCAGAGATGAGGAAAAGTACAAAATTGGGAGAGGAGAAAGGATAGGGCAGATACTAATGAAATTATATACACATAACTCACACCCCTCAGTATCCACTAGCATGTTGATACAAATGAAGTCATATAAACGGGCAAATTTCATCAATCGCCTTCTGGAGTTAGTGATTGGAACTTTGCTTTGCAGATTCCCTTTGCCATTTTGTACCTCGAGAAAGGATCTGGACCCTGGGCTACTGCTTTTCTACCTCTGCTCTTAAATATTGCTACAAAACCATAGAAAAAATTAAACAAAAATATCAAAATGTGAAGCTGGTGTTTAGTGTATCCTCCACCTTGGTCTACACACTTCAAAAGGCAGTGTTACTGTTTCTCTAACCCTTCCCGAAAGAATTCAGCAGCCCTTCAATGGACACATCCAAATGGCAACTGGACATCCCCAAGGGACTCAAAGCACATTCTTTTTAGAGTTTGGGAAACAAAAAGTAGTCTGATGAGGCAAGGTCAGGGCTATAAGGTGGATGCGGTGAGGTTTCCCAACATAATTGCTCCTCGCATAGAATGCATTAACATGATGGGGATAAAACTCCCCAGTGTATTTTCCTTGGCCTTTTCTCACCAACACAGCTTTCAATTTTCTTAAAACTGCTTCCTATTCAGTCCCTGTAATCACTCTGTCCTTCAAGAAAAATCTATCAAAATTTACACTTTGGGGATCCCAGCAATCAGTCACCATAACCTTCTGAGCTGATAGCTTTGCCTTGGACGTACCTGGCCCAACAAGATCCCTTCAGAAGCCATTGTTTTCATTGGGTTTTGTTGGGGTTTTTTGTTTTTTTAAGGCTCTTGAATGAGACTAAGACAAGTGTATTACTGAGAGACCTTGTCAACAGCCACCCACTAATCACAGAGGCAAGTTTTAAGATGTTTGAGACAAAACTACGGCATGCATGTATGATCTGGAAGCCTAGTAGCAATACATTTGACTTACCTTTGTATTTTTTTATCACCCTCCAGCTTCTCCAGGACTTACCTATGCCTTAAGGGAAATACTATCCCACCTCTGTGGCCTGCTCTTTTTGAAGGATATCACAGGAAATTTGCTTAATTCTATGTGTTCTCGGGTCTAATTGGGCCATTCTGTTTCACATGCAGTTGTCTTCCCCGGGGTGTGTGTGGGTCACTACAGAAAATGCCTTGGGAATGGATTTTGGTCTTGTCAACAGTGAAAGAATATTCAATACTGAGGTGCTTCACAGAACTAAAATGGTTGATTCTGGTCTGAATTGGACTCCATATTGTCCTAGCCCTCTGCGTTTTGTCCAAAATAACTTGTTCTGTAACATTCTGAGGTGGCCCACCCACATTATTGGAGGAATAAGCTCTGGGGTTCAGGAAACTGACAGTAAGGTTGAGTACTCCCAGTAGATTGAATGTATGAGTCAGCTTGGCAGGACCATAATTCTCAGTGGCCTGGCAGATCTGTAGCAATGTACGTGTGGCAGTTGTATAATGATGCCTCATGAAGTAACCTGATGTGATAAACCAGGTAGAGAATTCTGAGTGGGATGCAACATCCTTATGCCTCTCACAGCCCTGATCGAATGTAAAGGGAAGGGAGTTCGTGGGGGTATGGCCTGCAACATCTTACCGAACAGAGATCAAAGGGACCTACCACCAACAAGAAAGAAGAGCTGGTAGTAGAGTGTGGCTTTTGGACCTGGGGTCCCTGCACTGACAAACCTTAAGAACCAGGAGGATTGATGCGAAGACATGGAGATCTCCAAGGAAAGCCAGATCTACAGATACTGAGACAGACATTTCTACAGTCAGGAAACCGTAAGCCTTCTCTTACAGCGTGCTTCTGGACTTCATCTAAACTGTGAGAGTGTTTGTGAAAACTATCCACTTGGGGCATTTCTGTTAAAACAGCATGAGATGACTGATGCCCAGCCAATAGAAATTCTTGGTAAATGATCATTTTGGCTATCAGTCAAATGTACCCCCTACTCTTTCTCAACTCTATAATGAGTTCCATGTAGTTGAGTCTAAAAAGCAAGTGCCTTTCTGCCCCGACTGCCGAATCTCACTCTGAACTCTCACATTGGTGCTTCTTGGTTTGCATATATATAAATCTAAATAAAAGTCTTATTTTACAGAAAGTTTCGTTTTGAACACATCACACTGCCTGGAACCACTATTCTCCCCCTGCCTTCAACACTTGCTGCTGAGACCGGCTCAGAAAACCCAGCAGCTTCTCCCAGGAGCCACCAGCTGCCCCTTCTCTGCCAGGTTCTTCTTTCCTACGTACGTTTCATCATATTATTTATGATATAATTGTTCCCGCAGATAGAGAATGAACTTTGGGAACTGCAAGGATCACTTCATTTACCCATTCTTCAAAGTCGAACTCAAGTTTCATCTCCCTTTAGTTTCCCGGCTGCTCCAGTTGGAAATTTCCTTTTCACTTCAAAGCCATAGTCTTTCTAAATATGCATAATTGATACTTACATCACCTTAAATCACCTTCAGCCTCAGATGCCTCTCACACAGCGATTTACTATAGAGGCGCTTGAGGTCAGGGAACATATTATAGACTTATATTCATCCCGTTGTTGATGCAAAGGAAATGTCCGGGAATTAGTTGACAAAAACTAAATGAATCATTTGTATTTGTAGCTCTCTGCCCCACCCCCATCACCTCACCTCTAAATGCAGTCGTGTGAAGTGAAGGCATCTTTAGATGCTTGGGAAGATGGGCTTTAGGTATTTGTGTGTTACCTCTTGTTTATAATCAGCCTAGGGGCAGAGTAAACTCATCTACCCCTGGATTGCCCTCATCTACCCTTCCAGTAATGCGTAACTTCCGTAGAGTTTACAGAGGCGTTCATATCCTTCCAGTAAGTTGGGGTTTTTTTTGCTTAAACTAGCTGGAAGCAGCTTCTGCTCTCATGCAACTGAGAACCTGATACAACACAACAGACACACCATACAGAGACAACACACAAAATTAAGAAAAAGCATTACTGGCACTCTGAGCATCCTACTTCATTTAAATAAACCAAATTATTTTCTTTCCTTAAAGAAAAGTATGGTTTTCAGGCGCTCTTTGAGGAAGAAAGAGTATGTTTGGGACCTAGCTAACATTACCGACAACACAAGAACTGAAAAAAAATCCTCAAAAGTATGGAATAAGCATTTTCAAAACTATATTTTACACACCATCCTTATACCATCTATATTGAGGTAAACAGATAAACAAGTATAAAATCTGAGAAACATGTTCTGCATTGAAGATCAAAGGTGCCCTTACTGACTCGTCACAGGGCAGGTAAGGGTTTGCATGGATCTAACTAACATCCTTGTACACTCCCCACTGAACCGATGGCTGGGCAAGCAGGGTCTCGCTAAGCCAGCTACCCCATTCATTACTCCATCCGCCCATCTATGCTATGTGAGGCAATGTGCTGGATAGTGGAAACAGCAAGGTGATCAAGAACTAACACTGCAATGTGATATCACACTGCACAGGCAAGAGCAAAACCTTAGAGCAGCTCCTAATTACCTGGAGGAGTGAAAGCAAGGCTCCTTCAAGGAAGTGATGTTTGGGCTGGGACTCAAAGCAAAATGGAAAACATGCCCAGAGAAATGTACTTTCGGCCCCTATTCCAAAGGACAGCAAAAATTTTGTTCCTATTTTAGTGAGGGGGGAATTAAAATGTATACAGAGACAATGATAACCCCTCCTGGACTGACTAGTGACAGGGCAAAACCACAGTACAACTCAGAAATATAGAGTGCCTAACTAGAGGCATGCAGTACCCAAGGACATGATCCCTGCAAAGCTTTAATACCCACCCCCCAAAAATCCAACTTTGAACATCCTCCCTATTCCATGCAATGACCTTATGTAGGGTATTTTAATGCCTCCAAAAAGATCCTTGGACCTCTGGTAACACAATGGTTTATAAATGGAGCTACTACTCTGAAAGTAAGCTTTTCAAGTGTACCAGCCAACCCAAGGGAGAAAGATGAGGCTTTGCTGCCATTAAAGGTTTACAACCTCGTAAACACAAAGGGGCAGTTCTGTCTTACAGAGCCTTGGTGAGTAGGAATTGACTAGATGGTAGTCGATGGGAAGAAGGTCCTTAAAAACTTAACATTTTGTGGTACGGTGGTTAAAAAGGCCAAAGACATTTCTGACCAATAGCATAAAATCCCTGATTTTTATGTGACCGAATCTTTTTAAGTCAATAGATTTCTATTCATGTAGTAAGTTTCTACTTAATTTACTAAGTTCAACTCTTGACTCGCTGTCATCGCTGAATCACAGTGACTCAACAGGACAGGGTAGAACTGCCCGTGGGACTATGAGACTATGTATGGGAGGAGAAGACCTCATCTTCTCTTGCAGAGCAACTGGTGGTTTCAAACTGCTGACCTCAAGCCTAACAGCCAACATGTAACCACTACACCAGCAGGGCTCCTCAATTTAGGAACCAGTTAATACCAAATCACTCTTAAGTGGTAGAGGAAGGGGTCACAAACAAGGGTAATTCTAAGATTCCCAGGGTTAAAATTTTCATCTAAAACCTGTTCTTCAATTTGACTCTGTTAGGGACAGGCATCCTGAAAGATAAAACTACTTTTAAATGACTTTTTTCATAAAGGAAAAGGGAGACACTCCAGCATGGATCTACATGCATGACAATAAATAACTCAGTGGTACAGGTGACTGTCAAGTTCCCATGGGAAGACTACCAGAAGTCTCTGCAAGACACGGAGAGCGCCTTCTTACGCTCACTGCTGCCAGCTTAAGAAAGAAAAGCATGAAGGGCGAAAAGTTGCCGTTTTATGCGCCGTTCTTTAAAGAGCAAAGACTACTGCCTAAAAAAAATAAATACAAAATTTTAAAAGACTACTGCCTGAATTTATTATGGGTTTTTCCTCCCTAACAGAGAGGCAGTAAAAAGGAGGGTGTGAAGGCACAAAAAGGGATCGTGAAGTCCAACTGCAATAATTCCTCATGCAACTGACCCATTCTTTTCCGAGTTGCATTCTAGAAACCGCCTGAATACAAAAGAGAACTCCTAAATCATCACATGGCACCACTATTGCTTCCCTTAGACCTTTCGGGAAATGACCTCCCAAGTTCATGTCACAAACTCCATGGGGCTTCCTACATTAAAGTATAGCGACAGAGCCTAGAATGAGTATGGAATTTCGGCAAAGAGTCCTGCTAGCTCCATCTGATGTCTTTCAGCTCCAAATAACGGCAAAGGGCATCACCACGTGGACAGAGTCTACTTCACAGTGATAGACACGCATGTGGATGACCTGAGGCACAAGCTGAGATTGGTCCTAAGAAAATGAAAGGTAGAACTGGGTTGGAAACCGACATCTCCTGACTTCTGGTTCTTACTCGGCCAGAGCTGAGCTGCTGCTTTTATGCAGGATACACATCTTGGACCGTTCTGGAGAGTTGCTCCGGGTGCAGCATGATTTGTTAGATGGTATCCATGGAATTGGTACCACGCTCATGGGAAGCTTCCCAGCACAGCATTATGTGAGGTCTGACTACCCATGTCAGGACTGCAGGCTAAGATGCCTACTAGAGTTCTGTTTTCAAAACTCTGGGGACAATCTGATCATAGCCTTTCCTCTTGGTTACATTATAAGATAGGAATTTAGAGTATTCTGTTAGCAGGTTCTCCCAGTAGCAGTTGATGTCATCCATCCGCAAGTGGTTAATAATAAATTGGTTTCCCCTAAGAACAAGATAGACACAAACATTTTAAAATGGCATTTAATAATAATAGCCTATATGTGAGTGCTTACATTTGAGCATCATGCAGTGCCCAGAGTACTTGATAGGAATTAACTCAGTTTGTCAACAGCCACCATGTTGATAAACATGCATTTAGCAAGAGAGATTTCTTTTTCTTAAAAACAAAGTACCACTGCTCAAATGTGTTTATTAAATTACTGCAAATAGTTTGATCTACTTCTATAAAGACTGAACTTGAGACATGTAAAAGTGCACACATGCACACGGGGGTACCCACCAAAAAACCCTGGAATTACACTGGGTGGAAGTGGGGCTTTCTTAGCACACGTTTTTCCCACTGGGTGAGCATCAAACAACTCACTTTGAGTTAGTGCAGTCAGTGGCATCACCTGGGAAGGTTCTCTCTGGTCACAGTGAATTTTTTCATAAAAGCAGTTTGGCTCGAGCCTCATTTTTTGTGATGCCATTTTGTTTCCACAAAAGAATGACCGAGCGGGTATGAAAGGGCAGTAATTTGACAATGTAGAAGTAAAGAAAATAAACAAGGGAAGTGCTATCAGCCATCTAAATGGTTGAGTTTGAAAAATGTCTCCAAGAATGCATTGCAGATTTGACAAATGTATTAAGTATAATGGAGAGTACTTTGAAGGTGATAAGGTTGTCTTGTAAAAAAAAATGTAAATACATAGCTTTGAGGGAAAAAAAATCCATTTTTTGCGGGGTACTCCTCATGTGTGTGTGTATGTATATGTATGTGTATGTATGTAGATATCCCCCAGAATTGCTTTCATTTGGAATTATCTTTGTATAATGAAGACACCCCCCCCCAAAAAAAAATAAAATAAAAAAACTACATGGTAATAATATTCAGATAACGTTTGCTAAGGCAAAGTAAAAATGATAAAGTGGAACAGGAAAAAGGAACAGAGTGTACCTTTCAGCAATTTCCTGGGCTATATTATCGTTTGCTTTTACAAATTGCAACAGCTCCCTAGAAAATAAAGAAGAAAAAAAAGTTAATCTCAGAAATATGGACCAAGCTCATTAATAATAAATGAGAAAGACCACAGGTTGAAGTCTATGGTTAATCATGAGATATGTTAGTGATGAATTATTTCCTTTCAGCAAAGATATCAGGGTCCTCAAAGGACAGAAAACAAAGTTCTACACACAGCCTAGAGACAATCAGTTGTAGATTTCGGAAGTGTTCCAGGTACGCAACAAAAGCGGAGGGAAAAAATCCCCTCCTCTCTCTACATTCCTGCAGTGCTCCACAGAAAAGGGAACCGGGGCTCACATTTCTGACTACTCTACACCTCTTGCGAGATCCTCTCATCAGGAGAGGAAGTTTGCTTTGTTTCACGGTGCTCAATGCTCGCTCTAGACCTGAAAGTCTCTCTGTTGATCTCATACCAGCAACTGCACTTACGTTTACTCTTTGAGAGATTAGAGCTTTCACTTGTCACTCTGCCTGGACATCACATTTGATACCAGTATTGAGCACTCTTAACAAATGAACCTGCACCCTACTTGGATAATAATACAAGACTACATATTTGAATCAAAAAGGAAAACTAATAAAAATGGGGAAAAAAACCCATGAGAAGAAATGACTCAAATAGTTGGGAGCACTTAAGCAACGTGGGGTAGAACAGCTTACTGGACATTAGAGAGATCTGTTTTGACAGGGATGTAGTGAACCCAGGGCTTCAGTTGTGGATAGAAGAATTCCAGCCACTCCTCGCCAACATGGAAAACAAGTGAGCCACACAGGAAGAGGTGTTTGAACCGGAAACTTGCAGCTACACCCCGGAAGTTAAACAGATACCTGGAGAAGAAAAGAAATGCACTTGAAATACATGCCTGCGACCACAGGCATGGCCTTCCCTAGGCTTCCTTTTCTGCACGCCCTCACCCGTCTCTTTCCATTTTCAACCTTTAAGGACACATTAGTATGCTTCTTTGGGGTTTCCCCAAACTCCTTACTTTTCCAGGCTAGGGTTAAAGATTGTTCCTAGAGAGGAAATTCAGGGTGACAGGGAAAGGGGGAACCTCCACCCAGCAGAGCTGATGGGATCAGGAGCTGAGGTGCTGGGCAGAGAGGACGTCGGGCTGAGGTGGCTCTTTTTCCACAAGCTTGTCACTGCTGATAGTCTCTAACGAGTCACAGACACCCAAAGCCTTGCATTTCCCAGAGTATCGTCTCTAGTCAAAGGCACCCCTGCCCCCAGACAAACCTCGTTTCTGCTAAGGCCAGGAGAGGAGTTGGGACATTTGGCCACTCTCCAAAGAAATGCCCCACAGGACAAAACTTATCTTCAAAAGGGGGCATTTTCTTCTAAGACTATGGGTTCACCTGATTGCACTTTGCTCTCCAACCAGTCTCTTTCATCCCCTGGACCCCACACTGTTCAGGGTAGTCAGCGTCCATCTCTCTGGATCCCCCACAGCCTGGTTTTACTTGTTCGTCTCAGTCCTGCCACTTACTCACAGTGACCTCATGAGAAGATCTGCTTCTTGGGATTTCCTTGGTTACCAACGTGACAAAGGCCATTTGCCAGGCCTTTCGTCTGTGGGTCCACTGGTGGGTTTCAACTGCCTAGCTTTGGGGGAGCAGCTAATTGCAAACCATTTGTGCCACCGCTATTAGCCTGACTGGATTCACCCAGCTGCAATGGGATTTTTGTTTAAAAATAAGAATTTATTCATGGTAAGCCATTACATGTTTTACTAACTCCACAGAAGTTGGGAGGATGAGAAAGGAAGACAACCCCATTGTTTTGATTAGTAACATGCCCAGACCCTGTTTCATTTTCTCTCTTCAGTCCTTAAGGAACTCAGGTCCCAGCCTCATGGACCAGAGGCCCCCTCAAGACAACTACTACATGAATTACGGTATTTCATGCACTCGGCTTGACCCCAGCAAAATTTGCTTCCACAGGGAAACTAATTCAAAGGCAATATGGCAACCAAGAAAGATGGGAGCCCTCCGAGTCTTACTTGTATTTGCAGTGATCTACAAGATGGACATCTTTAGCAGCTGGCTTTCCCAAGGTATCCTGGAAGTGAAAAGGAAGTTACTAGTATTAGGGGCAACAGCACTTACGAAAGGCGGCTGTGCAGCAGGCACTGTGCTAAACATTTCATCGGCATTCTCTCCTTTCAGGGTCCCGGTAAACATACTCAGCGGGTATTACTCTCCCCTTTCCGCAGAGGAGGAAGCCAAGACTTCAAGAGGTTAGGAGACATGCCTAGGGTCATATGCCCTCCAGTAGAAGAGGTCGAGTCTTGACCTGGGTCTGTTTGACTTGAAAGTTAAGGGTCCCCTGAAGTCAGGGTATATAACACATTCCATTCTACTGCTGTTATTTACACAGGAGGTCACCAGTGGTGGCTGGTGGGCTTAGAGGTGTAGTTCACAGATTTTGTCAGGCATGTGAAGTACATAGATCACCACACACACACACACACACACAAATCCATATTTCCAACCTTCCTGGGGGGGAAAGGAGGGCGGGGAGATCTGGCAGACTGAGCCCCCATTCCTACTGGCAGCAAGCCACAGAGACCCTCAGGCCTCAACAGGCGAACTAGCTCACTGCTCTACTGCACCTGCCGGTCCCTTGGGCCATTTGAGACACCTTCCCTGCACCATATGCATGCATTTCATCCTTCCACCTCATCAGATGGCAAACTCCTTGATGAAGGAGGGAAACAAATGAATTAGCAGGAATCTGGTTGCCATTGCAGCCTCCCCGAGTCAACACAAAAAAATTGCTTGTTGAACAAATAGACTTTGTTCATCTTTTATATTTGAAAATAATTATCATTAAGATATGAAATGCAGTGAATGAAGGGGGGGAGTGTGGAGTGGAGACCCAAAGCCCATTTGTAGACCACTAGACATCCCCTTATAGAAGGGTCTCGGGGAGGAGACGAGCCAGTCAGGTTGCGATGTAGCAATGATGAAACATACAACTTTCCTCTAGTTCCTAAATGCTTCCTTACCACCACCACCCCCAATATCATGATCCCAATTCTACCTTACAGATCTGGCTAGACCAGAGCATGTACACTGGTGCAGAAAGGAACTGGAAACACAGGGAACCCAGAGCGGATGATCCCTTCAGGACCAGTGATGAGACGGGCGATACGGGAGGGTGAAGGGAGGGTGGGACAGAAAGGGGGAACCGACTACAGGGATCTACATATAACCTCCTCCCTGGGGGATGGACAACAGAAAAGTGGGTGAAGGGAGACCTCGGACAGTGTAAGGTATGACAAAATAATAATAATTTATAAATTATCAAGGGTTCATGGGGGAGGGGGGAATGAGGAGCTGATACCAAGGGCTCAAGTAGAAAGAAAATGTTTTGAGAATGATGGCAATGACTTTACAAAATGGATGTATGTATGGATTGTGATGAGTTGTATGAGCCCCTAATAAAATGATTTAAAAAAAAAAAAAGATAGGAGATGCAGGAATATTTTTTCACATTTTCATTAAGCTCACTTCATGAAGTCTCTTAAACTTCATTTGCACGTGTTACTAAAACTGTATCAAATCATTCATACATCACAGATGCACCTAGCTTCCCTTCTAAGAAGCTTTACAGTTTGGGGTTTTTTTCATAACAGCCTTAACAGAGCATAAGGAAATGCCAGATGAGGGAATTTAGGATGCAGGGTTCTTTGGTTAGGGCAGGAGGCATCAGCGTTAGGAAGACTGAGACAGACACCAACCAAAGGTCCTCATTCATGGCTTCACTTCACGAGCCTTGGGGTGCTTTAAGTAAGGGGAGGCACCTGTGCCCCATGCCCAGAAATTATGATTCATTTTTTCAAAAGCTCTCTGGCTGTACCATGAAGCCAGTTAAGATTGGGAAGCAAGGGTATAAACCAGGGTTGGCAAACTGCAGCCTGCAGACCAAGTTTGCTCGTTTGCCCATGTTAGTTTAGCCCGTGCACTAAGAAGGTTTTTACATTTTCCAAAGTTTGAAAACAAAAACAAAACATCTTGACGTGTGAAATGTACATGCAGTTCAAATCGTAGCGCCCCCAAGTGAAGCTGTGTGAGAACAGCCAAGACCACTCCTTTCTGTGGGGCCCCCGGCGGCTTTCCCGCAGTGATGGCAGAGCCGAGCGGCTGCAGGAGCAACAAATCTGAAAATCCTATTTCCTACCTCTCTGGCCCTTTGCAGAAAAAGTTTGTAGACCTCTGGCTTAAATATCCAGTCGTGTAATAGTCTAGTCAGAGAAACAATGTGAGTTTTGAGCAAGAAGGATTTACATCTGTGCTAACATTGATCCGTGGAACCTTCCCTAAGACTCATCCCAGCAGGAGGGAGGCCTAATAGGAAAGCCCACCCCGCGGCAATGCTCTTTGAGTCAGCACGTGCACTGCTGCATCTAGTCACACGGCGCGGATTACTTTCATGGACTTCCAGGCCTGGTTTTTGGTGTACTCTGCATCAACAAGTCCGGGCTTCTTCCGAGATAGAAGAATGAGAGGATCGCGTTCCGCGCTTGTCCTAGAAAAGAAACACGGCATGAAACGGTGGACTCCGCACCGCAAGACTGCTCCCCGGCCACGAAAGGGGGCAGGACCAGGTCCCAGGGCAAGGCCTGCGACACACACGGGCCATCCACTGGGTGTGTGACAGCAGAGGAAGAGGATCCTGGGAACTGCAGCATCGGGATGGTCCCGTGTAAGTCTCCACTGTGCCCACTGGCCATAGGAGTGTGTGGCCCTTCCCTGCTGTCATCTGGGCTCTAAGGGTTTGCTGTTCCGGGTACTACAGCCAGCGAAGAACCTCCCCTTTAGGAGGGTTCAGGTAGCCTCCGAAATGAGGGGTACTCATAGCTATGAGACTACACGGTCTTTGTTTTGTGTGCTCTACACAGCCCAGTCTAATATTAAAAATAAACAAAACTCCAAACAAACAAACGAATGGCAGCGCTTAAAAACTGGAAGACTTTATGTGGGAAAAGATCTTAGTCTTGAGAGTTGAGGTGTCATGGGCCCCTGTGAATCTGGTGGGAACATGGAAGACATCTCCCTTCCTAGGAAGACACACACAGGAAGGCATACGCCTAATAAATTCAAGGAAGCCCAGACATGGATCCCAATCTTTGACCTCAAGATCTGAAAACGAGAGACTGTGGTAAATACTGGCTGGACAGATCATCGTCATAAATCCGAATTGGGGGCCGCAAATAAGGAGTTTAACATCAGACAAAGCCTCAATGCAAACCCTACAAAGCCCCTTTCTTTTTCAGCATCTTCCCTATTTATCTGCTCAACAAATTATCGATCGATCTCCCCCTACGAAAGCATCATTACATAGGCATTTAAAGAGCTTCTAGAACACAGGTGATGATTGACCTTTTCCTATAGAAAAAATGGTTTTAGGACTCAGGTAAGCTCTTTAAGATAAAGAAAAAAACAGAGTGAAAATGAGAAATCCCGACTGTTACAATTGCTTTTCAAAAAAAGAAAAAAGAATTGCTTTTCCACAAATGTTGCTTTAAGCAGGGGCTAGTACCCGAAGGCTAGGGGCTTTATAGCAAAAGTACGTGGACTTGAATATCTCAAAAATAAGACTCATCAGTTGCTGCTAGTGGCGTAGACTGTACTGCAGTTGCACTTTGTCTTCTCTGCACTAGCTCACTCTACGCTGGGGCATTAATTAATCTATCTTGTCACAGTCATTGAAGCAAAAGTTTCCGGAGAGGAGGAGCCATCCATATTAACTGTGCTCTAGAACCCTGCCAGAAAATCAATCCCGCCTTCCTCCAACCAATCTTCACTGTGTCGCTTCACGCTTGGGACTGATCCAAGTGCTGACACACAGAACTGAACCAGACGACAGGGTCCTTCCTTGTCCCTACCCTTTCACATTTCCTTCTTCCTCTCCTGTCTGCCTCCCTCATTTTTACCAATCTCACTCTGTGCTCACAACCACTATTTGGCTGTCACATGGTCTGATAAAAAAGACAAAGAGGGCACTGAGATCATTCCGGCTCTGCTACTAAATAGCAGAGGGACAGCAGGCAAGATCTTCAATTACTCCTTGGAAACTGTCAGCTCTCAGACAAGGAGCCAACCCATTGTTGCATTCGGCTTTGTATAGTCAATGCCCACCACACTCCTGGCACTCTGTGTGCAGCATGATTGAGGGAATGAACCGGCCTTCTTTGAACAGCTCCATACAGAGTGATATAGGCCAATAATTTGATTTCTTCGCTCATCTAAAATTCTGTGTCTATGTTCATTTCTTAGCTGCTTTAGCTTTCTCTTGGAGCCAAAGAGTTCTGCACACCCTCCAAGTTGTTGACATTTTACATTCGTGGGCAGAATAGCATTGTAAAATGTCAGCATATAGAATCACCTGGATCCTCGGAAATACGCCGTGGAGTTTTTCTTTCGCCATGGCCACTGCGCGGCTGACCTAAAAGAATGGATTGATTCGGTTCAATGTTTTCTTGTTAAAGACACATGCTTTAAACATTTCTGAAGCTTGGTAGGGAAATTCACATGATAAAATAAGCTGGTGAAGACTGCTTTTCTACTTAAAATGCTCTCAAGGATACAATGTTCCCTTTTAAAAAAAATTTGTCATTGGGAATGTACAAAGCAAAACATGTGCCATCTCATCATATTTCATTGTCCAATCCAGTGACAACGATGGCATTCTTTCACTAGTACAACCGTTCTCTCCCCCCTTTTCTGAGCTGTTCCTCTCCCATTAACATAAACTCACTGCCCGCTAAGGTCCTAGCGACTCTTTCGAGTTGCTCTTGTCAAATTGACCCTTTATAGTTAGTTCCTATAAGGTGAGCTTTTTTTTTTTAAGGCGAGCATATTTTACTAGCTAAACTAAACTATTACTTTAGCTTTTAGAAGATTCCAAGGATATTTTTTGGTATAAGGTATAAAGATGTGCAGGTCTATCTAGATAAGATAGGTTGGAAGAACAGTCTGGAGGAGAAAACAACGGGACCGATGGTTCCGGGTGACAATGGGAGAGGGGGAGGC